ATTATACATATGGCATTTCAAAATACAATTCAATATTATTTTAATATGGACTTTAATTATTTATTTACAACCCTAACTGGAAATACAATTGGCGAAAACTCTACCCTTTATATTTACATTCGTTATTTCTATCCTTAACAGTCTTCTACAATAAGTGTCTCACTCTACAAGGCTTTTCTTTCCTTTCTATTAACCTTGAAAAAAAAAAAAAAAAAAAAAATAGTAGGCAAGGGGTGAGGCGCCAAACTCAATGAGTAGGGTTAGATAACCCCTCTTCACCCCACATCAATCACACAGATGCTAAATATTTTTATCTAGTTACCGTTTAATTATATGATCATGCAGTTTGTCAACAAAATGGACAGTACACAGCAATCAAAGTATCATCAACCTTCATATAATCAACATCAACGTGGAAATTAGTCAGTGCACCAACCTGAAACCCAAACAGAGCCGTCCTCACCACCAATGGGCTCGCCCTCTCATACATGTGCAACCCGGGGAGGCGATCCCCCATATACACGGTCCAACTGGTCTAATCCTCACTGACGCAGTCCTCTCATTGTTTTTTCCATTCTCTCTTTTCTTTTCCATACCCACAGGAAAGAAAACCCGGTGGTCTCCATCCAATCTAGATCATCAAGTGCTCACAACCAGGAGGCCACCCTGCGGGAACAATCAAATCTTAGATTTATCAGGTGCGCAAACAACAAGAAGCCATCCCTGTGGTTTTCCATTGCAATCCATATTCAGGTGCACACGATGGGGGAGCCGATCTCCATTTTCCGGCCGACGGTCAAATTTCATATCATATCATATTCAGGATCCATATCACAAGACCGTCCCACAAACCCATGGTTGGTCCACGTCATCCCATTCCCACACAAACAAGGCACAGTGTATTCACAGCACAAGTAATCAAACAATTTTTAATTCAAACAAATGGTGGCATCATAATATGGCAATTCAATAAAAATAATGCAATGATAACATTTAAATGCATGATAGCATTTAGCCGTGAATGCATGAATGCAGGCGGATGATACTAGTTATCTAACACTACTCACAGTTTTTGTTGTCCTTAAGCGCTCCCAGCCTTTGTCTTCACAGTCCGAAACTTTATAAGTATCTATATAATAAGAAAATTCTACATAAGAATTCTAATTTGGAAAATGCAGTTTACAGTCATTTATTTGTTTTCATTTATTTGTTTTCGTTACTCGTCGGTTCACTAACTTATCAAACTAAACTATATATCTATAGTGCATCTTTATTTGATTTATTTCTTCTAATTTATTTGTTAAGTAAAACGTCTAATTATTTGGTAATTAATATTTTATGATACTACTAATCAAAATATTTAATATGATTAATAATAATAATATTAATAATGATAATAGATAATATGATTGATCATATAATATTCTTAACGTTAATAACTTTAGTCGGTATTTAATTCACTGAACTATATATAAATTCGTTCCTCTTGTTTATTTATTTCTTTGTTTATTTATCCCTCTCATAATCTTATTCTATATTTTTAATTTCTATGAATAACTTAATCGATATAAGTAATTTAGTTTCTAAAATACAATTTATTTTCTACCGACTTTTCGGCAGCATCTCCCCTAAAATTTGGATTATCCACCTGTTAAAATATCAACAACATTATATCCAAATTAATTCCAAACCACACAGCCCAATCCATCGGGGCAATCACATCAATCAACAAATCCCATCCTCGCACAATTTTCCGTACTACATACATTTTAATAAATTTTCTTTAATTCCATACATCTGACTTTATCTGACTTTTCAAATTAATTTTTTAGGTTAAGTACCGGTATTAAATTTTAACTAAATATTGTTAATAAATATAAATCAACACGAATTGCTTTTAATTTACTCCTCAAAATTAGTGTCATACTGTAAATTTACTTTCTTATATTTCATTAATCAATAATCAATACTACTTAAATTAATTTTCCACCACATAAATTTAATTAAACTACGCAAAATGACTGAAAATTAAGTTAACTAAATTAAATGAACTAAATTAATAACTACAAATTAATTAAATTTAATTCAAAAGTAACGAAATCATTAAAAATAATTTTTCCATCTTAGATTAATTTATACCCCAAATATAATTTGTCGAATTTTCGCTAGATCGGGGATTTTTACACATGCTGGATCGAAGCTACGTGCACTGGAAGTGGCCGGATCCGACTGACAGTGGCAGAAGGAGGTGGAGACGGTCGATCTGGTGGTTGAAGACCCGCTGGAGCGGCGGCAGGGCGGTGGAGCGATGGGGTGGTGGTGCTGCATTCGTTATTGGTGGCTGGAGACACGTTGGACCGGCGGTTGGGCTAGGCGGTGGCGCGATCTGCTGGTTCGAAAGGAGGGAGAGGCAGATCGGCAAGAGCTACAGCAAAAGCGGCGGCGGAGTGGCGGTGGCGTGCGATTCTGCTGCTCCGCCTCTATCTCTGTCTTGCCGAGAACCCAGACGCAAAAGAGAGAAAAGAAAGCAAGAAGAAGAAGAAAAAAGGAAGAAAGAAGAAAGAAGAAGAAGAAAAAAGAAGAAAGAAGAAGAAGGGAGGAGCAGTGGCTCGGGGAAGGTTGTCGGTGAACTGGAGGCGCAAAGGAACTCATGAGTGAGGGAGATAAGCGTTGAAATATAGAGAGGAGGAAGTTTCTAGATGTTTGGGTTCGAACCGGTTCGATTCGATTCGATTCGGCCCAAATCTTTGGTTTTCAACTTGGTTTTTTTCGGCTTTTTTAAATCGATTTTCGGTTCGGTTTTCTCACAGTATTCGCGACTAAAATATTAATATTAATTTCCAAGCGTATTCGCACTAAAATATTAATATTAATTTCCAAGCTGTCGGTTCATTAAATTTAATTGGATAATGTTTGAAAATAAAAATTCAGGGTATTACATGATGCCTCCTAATAAGACATGGATGCAAATATCTATACATATACATTGTACTGTCATTCTTGTATTAATCAAAGTAGCATATTGGCCAAATGAATTGATTTAAGTATGATTATTTCTTGTTATTTTGTGTTCTTCCATTCAATCTAATTCTATAACATAAGTAAAATGAATTAACTTCTATCCAATGTTTTATAGAGATTATTATTGCTTCAATTAAAGTTCTTATGTTTATAAAATATAATAATATAATAAATTGTTAAAAATAAACATTAATGGGGATGTAGCTCAGATGGTAGAGCGCTCGCTTAGCATGCGAGAGGTACGGGGATCGATACCCCGCATCTCCAATTGAAAATGTAAAATTTTTTCACCTTTTAACAGCAGCTTTATTATTATTATTTTAGTTAAGGCTAAATATAGATTAGCATTAGCAATTTGAGTTAAACCTTATTTATTATGTCTTTTATTATTATTTTTTTTAAAATAAACAAAGATAGTACTTTAATTCATATCGATAACTTATGGTTATATAAGAAAATAATAAATGAAGTTGTTTTATATCGTCGAGCTTCCTCATAACTCTAAGCTTTGAATTTCATGTCCATCTTCTATATATGTAGTCATACCTTATATGGGTAATGGATACCTTTTATGGTAATTTCATTATCGAGTTACTTTGTTTCAACTACCTACTTTTCATAATTGATTGCCTTTCCTCAGTTCATCTAGACATGAATTTACCAAACTATGGTCCATTCTGTTAAAATACCATTAAAGACTTGTCCTAATCATCAACATCTTAGACTCCATTTATTTTTTTAAAAGTATTTTTAAGTAACTCGTTTTATATTGTTTGAATGTAATATCAAAATTTTTTATAACAGTTATAATTATAAAAATTTCATTATTAAATATGAAAAAATATAAATTTTTTCATAAAATATAACAGTTGTAGATGACTAATTGTAGCTATCTATCAATAATAAGCAATTGATGACAACGGTGGTCGATGATGATCAATAGTAATCGATAATGATGACTATGGTAATTGGTAGAGTAATAAATACGTTTTTACAATATCAAATGGATTTAATTATCAATGTTCATGAAATGTTTTCTTTATAAAAGATTTAGAAATCTCATGTAAGATATTTTTAAGGACGCCCCATAGATGAGTTGAGGGAAGTTAATTCAATTCCATTTGAGTGTATTAATCTTGAGTTTGGCTTTTTTATACTTCCTCCGTTCCAAAAATATAATCTATCTTTCCTTTTTGATTTATTCCAAAACACAGTTCATTTTTCATTTTTGCATTATAGTTAATTTTTAAATTTTCTACTATACCCTTATTAAATTGTTTACCATACCCTTATTAAATTTTATATTATTTTAAATAATTCTCATTAATTCTTTCTTATTATTTCAATATAATAATTGCTCATGTGTTATTCAATATCGGAATAATAAGAAAATTATATTAATAAAATTGTCCTTTAACCATAATACTTGTCACTCCGTCCTAAAAAATAGTTCACTTTCTATTTTCACACAGATTAAAAATAGCAATTATTATAGTTAAATGACAATTTTATTCATATAACTTTCCTATTATGTCCATTTTTAAATAATATTATGAACAATTATTATATTAGAATAATAAATAAGAATTAATGAGAATTATTAAAAATAAGATAAAATTTAACAATGATATAATAGACAATTTAACGATTAACTATAATGTAAAAAAGAAAAGTGAACTATATTTTGGAATAAACCAAAAATGAAAGATGAACTATCTTTTTTGGAACATATGAAGTATTTCTTAATCGTGAAAATAAAAAATAGACTATCTTTTTGAGAGGAGGGAGTAATTTATAGTTAAAAAATGAGTAATTTATTTAAGCTCCTTTGGCTCATTAAATTTACCAAATAAATGTAAATTAGCTTTGTTTTGTCCCAACTCACGAAGCATTAAATGCCAAATCAGAGATGAATATGTTTATTTATTATCTTGTTTTATTTGTCAGCCCAAACTCCATAGAGACAGGACTCCATAAAGTTCCATATCCAAAGAGGATTTTCGGGGTCGCTGATGTGGCATTCGCAGAAGAAAACGACATTGAGTTTGTTGGTTTGTCTGTTTTGTTGATGCAGGAGAAACAAAAGCGACAGTTAAACTGCCTCTAGAGGCTAGAGCGATAGCCGAATGATTTCGGTAGATAGAGAAAGATACATATCAGAGACTCACGAAATTGCAGAGGCGTATGCTAGCGAGCCGCGCGAATAAGCATTCCTCATTTCTTCAAACAATATGCTCAGTTTATTCGTTTGATGGTCCTCTAAAAGATCGAATCTCTCAGCACTTCTAAATCTCTGAAGAGACTTCTCAGATTTGAAGATTGCGTTAAGGTTTGGGAAATTTCTTGCATCTTTTGGTGCTTCTGATCCTCATTGCCTCCATTGGCAATGAATTTTGATTTGAATGCTCTCTTTGGATTGAAATGTGCCAAAATTGAAGAGTTCATTGGGAGATTCAATGCATAATGCATTTATTGATTTATAGGTTTTTGGTTTTTGCAAGGGAGTGAATTTAGCTCTTTCAGAGCTGAGAGTAGATAATTTGAGGCTTTTGCGTGGGAATCTAGGGGTTGGTTTGATTGTGCTATGGACTTCTAAAGTTTTATGTTATGGGGTAGACACGGAAATGTGGTTATTGGAGTGATGTTTATGGCGAAAAGTTAGAGGCCGGTTTTTACAGGGTAAATATTTTTGTCAAGGGCTGGTGTTCAAATGGGCATTGGTTCTACACCTGGGCAGCAACTTGAATGGCTAGTCTTGCCGAGAGGGATATCGAACAGGTTTAATTTGCTTCCTTTTATTTCCTTAAATTTTCTTCTATGTTGTGGTTGGATGCTAATATCATACTCTGACAAATGTTTTGCTTGATTTGCTACATAAGTTATTTGATTCCATTTGTGACTGGTAGCTTAATACTATTATGGATTGTGCAAAGTACTCGGTATTGTTGTACTGATCACCTGTTCATGCGGGGACAAGATACTGAGTTGACATATTGAATTGGTCAAAATTATCCATTAGGCTGGCATATTTGCTCCAGTCAGCAATTTTTCAATGCCTTTTTATTTTTATTTTTTTATTTTACTTTTCTTTAACAGTAAGATTTTAATAGCCAAAAATTTAGTGACATATCTATTTGAACTTCAATTAATGATAGTCTAGCAGCAGACAAACTGTGCCTGTTTATACAGAGTTCTAAACAATGAAGAGTTGAGCTCCGTTCATGCATCATTATTTTGTTTGTGGTGCTTTCAATTGTTATTCTCTTATATAACTGCCATTAGGAAATTGGCTAATTTTTTAATTTTTTTTCTATTTCTGGATTCATTTTAGGCCATTATTGCACTTAAAAAAGGTTCATATTTGCTTAAGTATGGGCGCAGAGGAAAGCCAAAATTCTGTCCATTTCAACTTTCAAATGTAAGTTCACTTGGAATCCATGTACTGTTTGAAAAATTCTACACTTGCCTGTAAAATGACATGAGAAGAAACGATTAGAGTGAGCATATTAAAATGAGTGGATATCTCTGTTTCTATCCCACAGTTCAATCAAAATAGTTAACAAACATGCAACCAACACATTGTCCAATCCATCTTTGGGTAGGAGACAAGCAAACAAAGACGATCAATCTCTAGCTATGGTGGCTTTGTTTTCATGCTAGTTCCAAAATTTGGAGTGAGCTTTCTCAGCTCCTTACTGAAATTCTTATGAATAAAGCTTTCTTATTTCTCTCAAAAAAAAAAAAAAAAAAAAAACATGCCAAAAAAATGAGAGAAAATTTGACCAAAAAAAAAAAGGGTAAAATGTGATTTTCGTCAATAATTAGTGCTGCCTGGTAATGGCTGGCAGCAGTCAGCATGGCTGGTGAATTGGAGGGTATTTTCCCATCATGGTCGTAGGAGTCAGAAAATTGACTGTCCACTCTGAAAAAAAGAATTTTTTTTTTTTTTTCTGAAAATGGCTAATTTTCAATTTAATTTGGAAAAATTTTCACTAAGTTGACCATTTTTTTTTGTGCCTCAAGAACTGGAAAAAGCAGATTTTTTTTTGGGAAAAAAAAAAAAAACTTTCCATGAAACCAATCTAAATCATGAATTTGCATGCAAGTGCTTTTGTGGCAAAACACCCTACTTGTGATCAGCCTCACTGCTGGCAGATGCCTTTATTGTTAGTGTATAGACGCTTCTAACCTGTTTACTAGTAGTTATAGAAACGGTGTTCTTTTATGTATTCATTCTGTTCACTTGTGCTGGGGTTGTTTTTCAGGATGAGTCTTTGTTGATATGGTACTCGGGCAAAGAAGAGAGGCACCTAAAACTTAGTCAAGTTTCAAAGATTATTCCTGGACAACGTACTGTAAGTTTGTACAATTTAAGATTTCTTTTTCTGAAAATTTTGAGGGTCAGGTTCTCAAATTAAAGACATTTATGTAACATTTCAATAATATGAGCCTGGATGCATGAGTTTTCAAGAATGTTGGACAAGAAGTTTGTGTCAGTTTGATTTCTCGACGTTTTGCTGGCTTAAAGCCCACTATTGCACGGTCCTTTTTATTTTTACAAAATCTGTATCTTTCTTCTGTTTGGTTTCTTGTTACTTCTATAATATTACATACATAAGACAGCACCTATTGTGTTTCAGGCAATATTTCAACGGTATCCCCGGCCAGAGAAAGAGTATCAATCTTTTTCTCTTCTATACAATGATAGGTCGTTGGACTTGGTGAGTTTGCCTCATCATAGTTTCTTTTAGATGAAAGTGCATTTGTAACCAATCAATAACAGTAGTATTTGAGAATTGATTTTCTTTGTTTTAGGATATTATTGAATCAAGTTTCATTTTTTTATCTATAAAATATATCAGTGTACATAAAGATATCTACAAAAACATAACTTGTCTTGGTCTGACACCATTATGGACAGATATGTAAGGACAAGGATGAAGCTGAAGTTTGGTTTGTTGGCCTTAATGCACTCATTACTCGTGTTAACTACCAGCACAAGTGTAGAGCTGAAACAAGAAGTGAAAACTCATCGTCAGATAGTCCCCATGCCCGTGCACGGAAGCATTCTCCATCAATTTTTTCAATTGTCCGTAGCAGTCATTGTCTCTGATTTTATAAGGATTTGGGGATTCATTGTACAATTGGAGCTAATTTTTCCTACAAAAATTGACTGCATGGAAATTGCTAACAACTAACATTTTTTTTTTTCCTTATTTGAAAATTACCACAGGATGGGGGGAGAAATGGTCAAGGAAGTCCGGTACGTTTTGAGAGTATTCCACAAAATAGATTGGGAAAGGCATTCAGTGACATAATATCATATACCGCAGCAGCCAAGAGTCCAAGTCATGCAGAATTACTTGGCAGTCCTTTTGGTCCATTATCACCTGCCAATGTAGATCACTCAAATGGTCGCAATTCTACAGCCGAAACAGTTCGAGTCAGTTTATCTAGTGCTGTAAGTTCATCCAGCCAGGGTTCTTGTCATGAGGACTTTGATGCCTTGGGTGATGTTTTCTTCTGGGGAGAGTGTATTGGTGATGGAATACTGAGTGGCAGTGTGCACAGAGGTGGGACTTCATCTGGTTCCAAGGTGGATGCCGTCCTGCCAAAGGCATTGGAATCCAAAGTTGTCCTAGATGTCCATAATATTGCTTGTGGTGGCAGGCATGCTGTGTTGGTCACTAAGCAAGGTGAAATCTTCAGCTGGGGGGAAGAGTTGGGAGGTAGGCTTGGGCATGGAATAGATGTAGATATTCCCCATCCAAAGCTTATAGATACCCTCGCAGGTATGAACATTGAACTAGTAGCATGCGGAGAGCATCACGCTTGTGCTGTTACTCTTTCTGGGGATCTTTATACATGGGGTGATAGTGCATACAATTGTGGTCTTCTAGGGCATCGAAGTGGAGCAAGTCAATGGATGCCTAAAAAGGTAGGTGGTGACTTGGAGGGCATACATGTATCATATATCTCATGTGGACTTTGGCATACAGCTGTTGTAACATCTGCTGGCCAGTTGTTTACATTTGGAGATGGAACTTTTGGTGCCCTTGGCCATGGAGATCGCAGTAGCACATCTGTCCCACGGGAAGTAGAAGCCTTGATAGGACTAAGAACAACAAGAGTTGCTTGTGGTGTTTGGCACACTGCTGCCGTTGTTGGAGTAACAACTGAATCATCTAGTCTGGGAGTTTCTGGAAGCTCTTCATCAGGGAAACTCTTCACCTGGGGTGATGGAGACAAAGGCCGCCTTGGGAATGGTGTTAAAGAACCTAGACTTTTTCCTGAGTGTGTAGTAGCACTAGGTGATGAGAATCTCTGTCAAGTAGCTTGTGGGTATAATCTCACAGTTGCCCTGACAACGTCAGGACGGGTATATACAATGGGGAGTACTTCATATGGACAACTTGGAAATCCTGCATCTACTGGTAGGGCTCCAAATATGGTTGAAGGTAATCTAGCAAGTAGTTTTGTTGAAGACATTGCCTGTGGTTCTTATCATGTTGCAGTTTTGACTTCCAAGGGAGAGGTTTATACCTGGGGAAAAGGCAAAAATGGACAATTAGGCCATGGAGACAATGATGACAGAAATACACCTACGTTTGTTGACTTTCTAAAAGATAAGCAAGTAAAGGCTGTAGCATGCGGTTCAAATTTTACTGCAATCATATGTCTTCATAAATGGGTTTCTAGCACTGACCAGTCACAGTGCTTTGGTTGTCGTAATCCATTTGGTTTCAGAAGAAAACGACACAATTGTTACAACTGTGGCTTAGTCTTTTGCAATGCATGCACTAGCAGAAAATCCATAAAAGCTTCCTTGGCTCCTAACATGAACAAGCCGCATAGGGTCTGTGATGATTGTTTCAATAAACTAAAGAAGGCATCAGAATCTGGTCTGATTACACGAATACCTAAACCCAGAGGTGGATCCGTGAATCAAAAGACCAATGAGACAGGAGATAGAGAGATTCTGGCTCCCAAATTACAGTCGCAACTCTCCAGACTTTCATCTGCAGAGTCGACTGGTACATCAGAAAGCTTGCATTCGAGGGGTGAAAGAAGATCCCAATCAGATACTGGCCGTATCTTCCCTGTTCTAAATGGAAATTGGCAGTTGGGGGGCCTTTATTCATTGAAAGTATCAAATTTTCTACTTGGAACTACAAAGAAACCTTCTCAAGATTCAGCTTCTAGTTCCAAAATGGCCTCTCAAGCAATACTTCCTCTACCAGGAAGAATGAGTCCACCTCGAGGTTCTTTTGATGATTCAAAGTACATCAATGGCATTTTAAATGATGAAATTACAAGCTTAAGGGCTCAGGTAAACTATTGTTTTAGCGTGTATAACCTCATTTCCCCTTTTATCCTTTCCTCCCTTCTCCCCATAATATATCTAAGCTTACATCTACACCTTACTAATTATCTCCCGCTGTTGTTGAAAACACTGATGGCTCATGGAGCCCAGGCAAAAGGGTATAAGTTGAGGCTGTGCTTGAGCAAAGTCAGATGTAAACCTTTAAAATGAACTGCATTACAGTTTATAAAATTAATGACAACATATGATGCAAATGTTCTGCATCAACATAGATCACCAAACTTCAGTCAAACCTATAATTTTGGCTAATTGTGGAAATATTATTATGGCTTTTACTTCATGCCTTGGTTACAATTTTTGCTAAGGCCTAAAACTCCCTTCCAATTGATGTGATGACTGTTTGGATGCTATTTTTGTGTATAAGAGTATTCCGTCAGACTCAGATGGGAGTCACGTTGGCCTTGCTATCAACTTCATTAGATAAAAAAAGACTCACTATTATTTTAATGACTAAATAATTTCTGAAGGACATTTAAGCCTTGGTGGCTATTGACATAAATGATAAATCATACCTGAAGTATGAGACATAAGTACGTTTTCTTAAAAAATTTGCCACAATTTTAAATTTGACCAAAGTCTACTGTCTCCTAAATTTATATCGAAGTCCAGACTGTGTTAAGCAGTTTTTTAGAGGTCTAAGTACTGCTTAAGATTTATTACCAGTTGATAACACTTATAATGGTTTATTAGAATGACCTACTTTCATCATATTTATGCTGGCAACCAAAAACCATAAAATTTCATTGACTAGCCTGAATATATAGAATTCGAAAGCTTGGAGCTCAAAGTTGTAGAAATAGAATATTGATAACAAGCCTTGGCCCAAAGTTAAATTTGGAGCCTTTGAGGCAGGGAAGGGAGTGGGCAGTTGGTCTGCATTGATTGTTTGATGTTCTACTTATTTTATCCTTATTGTTAAGTTGATTGCAACAAGAAGAAAATATATTTCAATGGAAATACTTTGTAGGTGGAAGAACTCACTTCCAAATCCCGACGCCTTGAAGCTGAACTTGAAAGAAAATCGAGGCAACTTAAGGAAGTCGCTGCAATAGCAGCAGATGAAGCTGAAAAACGCAAATCTGCAAAGGAAGTTATTAAGTCGCTTACTGCTCAGGTTGGTTATGAAGTTGCTTAGTTCAACTTCTTTTACATTTGCTTCTGAAGCACTTGCTTAGATTTTTCATATGAAATGTGGCTTTAAAGAAACTGTCCATATGGATGATGAACATATTACAATTTTAAGTTTGATCTTTGGAACAATTATTTCAATAGCATAAAAACTCCAATTTTTTTGGTTGATGGCTTCTCTCTGTTGAGGAGCACAGACATTTGCATTTGGTTGCTAATATTCATGTCAATATTGAAATTCCCAGCTTAGCCCTCTTAAAATAAGAAAATACATGAGCATAAGCATGCGTGTGCATGCGAAGCTCCCACACATATATATAGGGGACAGGTAGAGAGGGAGAGAGAGAGAGACAGATAAACAGACAGATAGTGGAAGTTAAGTGTGTGGTCTATGACTAAGGAATGTAACAGTACTAAACCTTAAGAAATGCAACAATACTGGACCTTATATTTACCAAATATAATATATGCATTGCTAAAGGATCCCTAATTTAATAAGACTTCCGATATTAGAGGCTCTGGGTAACCTTACCATTATAAAAGGCTCACCCTCTTTTATAAGCGTGGTTCATCTTCTTAAATCATTTTTGTTCCATGAACTTATAGGTAACAATCAGATTATCAAACGACCAACAGGGAAACGATTTGTACTTTTGCCACACAATTTGCTCGAGGATTTTACTTGATTACCCACTATTATTATTATTAGTAGTGTAGTGGAGCTTTGATTTGCTTGACAGTTGAATTTTGAGCTGGTATATGCAATGCGTTAACCTGTGAAACTATATTGTAAACTATGTTGTGCATTCTTAAGATTTAATTATCATGTCAAATGTTCTTAGAGTTTACTGTTCTCAGTTTTTTAGTCTTGCTCATTTTATATGATAATAATAATGTGTGCTCTTGATCATAGTTATTTTTCTCATTTCACATGACTCATAAAATTTGTGCTAGGCCATAATGAAAGCCACACATGAGCAAGTTTCAAACTTCTGTGGCTTATTTGCATGAAAACCTTCCAAATTGACTTAACTGAATTTATCAAAAAGTAAGCTGACTGGTTTCTTGTTCTTTTTTGGTTAATTGGACTCTAACTGGGGTTCAAACTTCAGACCTCACAGCATGGAGACCACTCTGGCACCACTGAGCCAAAGCTCATTGGTAGATATTTTATTTGTTGCGATGTTGTGGTATGACATATGAGGATGGGGAAGGGGAATTAATTAGTTGTTGCCTGTTCATTCATTTCTGCTGCACTTGCTCTAACAATTTGATTTTCTAACATTTTGATTATTATCTCACAGTTGAAGCAAATGGCTGAAAAACCACCGGAACGACGTAGCGTCAGCCCGGTTTCAGGTTCTATTACAAAACATCCCTCTGGCACTGAAGACAAGCCATCGACTGAGAGATATGCTTCAGGTGAACTCTCTCGTGAAATTGAGTCCAATGGCAATTCAGCAGATCATCAAATGCTGTCATATAGAACTAAAACTCAAACTGAGAAGCCACAGTGGGTGGTGCAACCTGAACCAGGCGTGTACATTACATTGTCTTCCTTGCCAGGTGGTGGTAATGAGCTCAAGCGGATTCGTTTCAGGTACTGATACTAGCCAACTATATTACTTAAAGGCAATAAAGTTTACAACTAACTGGTCCAACTTCATACCTATGGTCAAACTTTTGTTAGATCATAAAAGCTTATGACTTTATGCTGTCCTACATGCACCTGGCTTCTTATTATAGTTTCAGTGGCTTAACTTGAATCGTAACCCATGAATGGTGCTGTGTTAATGGAACTTGTTAGCCATATTTACAGCATCATTGTTGTCTCTTATAACTGGCACTAGCAAATAAATTGAGGAATTTATGCTTAATATGCTTCAAGTTAGCATGCATGCAATGTGGAATTGAGCTCCATGGATTTCTACAAATATTTGTCCATGTGGTATTAAGCTCTGCGCTTCAATTTAATGTGCATGCTTTACCATTTGAGCTTTATAACTGAACAGTTGCATATATCTATAAAATACAAGAAGAAATATTTTGTTTGCCATTATGATTGAATGTATTGATTGCCTTGCTGATAGAAAAAAGCATAGTTTCTACTTCCTGCAGAATGACAAGATGCATGCAACCTTATGGCCTTTCCATTATTTGTCATTTACCAAGTCACCACCATGCCGACTGACCGCTCCGTATATCCCTCAAAAACATATTTAATTTTAAGACATTGGTGATTCTGTGACGTGACTCAATATTAGCATTAGCAATATAATTTTTTGTTCTCTTAAGATTTCAATTATCTTCTACAGTCGGAAACATTTCACAGAACAACGAGCAGAGAGGTGGTGGGCAGAAAATGGATCCAGGCTATGCGAGCGGCATAACATACAAAGTACAGATTAACATGCCCCAATTTTTTCCATCAGTTTCTCAAATAGATGTCTTGGATAGACTGACGTTACTTTCCATGACCCTCCTCCTGTCCGCTGGAAACTGTAAATTTGTTTTTTTTTTTCACCTTCTCCTAATCTTCCAGTAGAGTTTTCATTGAGGATCATGGGTCGGAATTTTGCAGGTAGACTGAGACGTAAGAGAAGTAAGAATGTAGGGAAGAGGATAAACAAAAAGGATAAATGAAGTGCATTTTGAGTTTGTGGCACTGTCCTTTTCTTTGCTTTTCTTTTTCTTTTTCTTGAATTTTGTTCAACTGTTGTCTTCAAGCTAGTCAACAGAGATGAAAGTAACACGTAAATACATGTAAAAAGAAAATACATTTCTGGAACGCATTTCTTCAAAAGGCACAATTTCTTAAGTAATGTGATTAAAGCAATCAGAGAGCAGCCTCATAGTGAATGCTTTTGTTTTCTTGACTTAATTTTCTTAGGGTATTGACATAATTTTGATAGTCGGCAACTTATGACTTTGTAATCCTACAAAATTTCAGTACCATCAAATCAAAGTTCACCAGTCCAATGGAAATGATTATGGAGTTGGAACTCGACACTTGAAGAAACAAAATGTGAAAAGAAATAAGAGGGGAAAAAAAAAAAGAAAGGAAGCTGTCACATTATTTTTTGGAATGGCAGGAAGGTTTAAATTTTGACATTGTCGTCCTAACCTATATGCATATTTAGTTTATTAAAAAAATAATAATAATACAGTAATCAAGTCAGAAAAGTTCCAACCAACTGTAATTATCAATTTCAATTGCGCTGCAACCAGCTTCCTTAACAATCCTTTCTCTTTTTTCAACTAACTTATTTCCATTATTTGCCTGTGTCCTCTGTTCTTCCTTTTCCTGGCATCTGCTATGACCTGGTAACCTGCCAGCAACAGCGTAAGTATAGGAAAGAAGAATAGAATCAGTAGGATGTTGATCATCTATTTCAGCCAACATTCTTTTCACACGTTCCCCTAATTCAACATTTCCGTAGACTCGACAAGCAGCAAGCAATGCGCGCCATGCGGTAGCATCACTCCTAACCGGCAGTCTTTCAATTAGGTCATGTGCTTCCTCTAGCAAGCCTGCCCGACCTAAAAGGTCAATCAAGCAACCATAATGCTCAATCTTAGGTGAAAAGCCATATACTCGAACCATCCTTTCAAAACATTTCATTGCTTCTATAACTAACCCACCATGGCTGCAAGCACTTAAAGTTCCCAAGAAAGTAACTTCATTAGGTCTAAAACCCTCCTGCTCCATCCTGAGGAACAAAGCAACAGCTTTTCTTGCTTGCCCATGAACTCCATAACCTAAAATCATTGCTGTCCAAGATTTTACATCTTTGCTCACCATCCTTTCAAAAATTTGTATAGCCTTGTCCAAAAACCCACATTTAGCAAACATATCAACTAAAGCTGTTCCAAGAATTGCATCCAACTCCAACCCCTCCTTTTCTACATAATCACTGAGACAGCACCCTAGTTTTATTGATCCAGAGGCAGCACAAGCCGTAAGCAGCCCTGCTACTGTAGACGAATTCGGTTTCACTCCTTGAAGTTTCACGGTCTGCAGCAAAGCTATAGCTTGTTCTAGCAACCCGGCCTTTGCATATTTGTCAATCATACAGTTCCAAAGAATAACATCCTTTTCAACAACTCCATCAAAAATTCTACGTCCTGAATCAATATCTCCCGTTTTTGTGTACATTTCAATCAAACAAGTCACCACATTTAGATTTGAGCAAAATCCAGTCTTGATGGAATGCCCATGGATGGACATTCCTCCAATTGGATCTCCTACATCAGCAAAAGCAGACAGCACACTCAACAATGTAGTAGCACTCACTTGCAAACCACTTCTAAACATTTGTCTAAACAATTTTGTTGTCTCAAAGGGCAACGTTGCTTGTAAATAAGCACCCATCAAAGTATTCCAAGAAACCAAATCATTCTTTTCAGGAAATTCATCAAACAACTTTTGTGCATCCCTATTTCTTTTACAAACGCCGTAAAAATGCAAAAGTATATTCTTTACATTGGTAAACATCAAATACCCAGATGTCAAAACAATAACATGTATTCCCTGCCCAGTCTTAATAGCCATTTCACGCGCGCAAGCTTTTAGAACTGTGATGAAAGAGAACTGGTCCAACTCGATCCCTTTAGCCCTCAAATTATTGAACACAGAAAAAGCTTGTCTGGGGTCATCGCTAGTAGAATAGGCTCTAAGCATAGTATTGTACATGAACAAATTTGGGTTTTGTACAGTATCAAAGATTAAGGCTGCATATTTGACTTCTTCTATTGAAGAAGCAAGAAGCTTACTTACAGCGAAAGGGTTATTGTCAATACCAGTTTTGACCATAAAACCATGGATTTGAGAGATTTCAATTGTTTGTTTGGAAGATTTGAGCAAGGAGATAACCGAGAATAAGGAATTGGGAAGTGCGTACTGATGTTTGGACCGGAAATCGATTTTTTTGGTCAAGTTCATGAACTTGTTAGGATTTTGCTGCGAGGTTTCGTCTCATGAAAAATGGTGGAAACTTGAAAGACTTCTGTAATGTGAGCTTATAAACTGGTCCTCATGGGTTTTTTCTTTTTCTTTTTCTTTTTTTTTTTTTTAAATCAAATTGATTCAATTGAGAAAGAAAATTTTAATTTTACCCTCAAAATTCATTTCTTTTTTAATTATTTTTAAATACATAAAAATACATTTACATACTGAAACGATAATTTTTTGTCTGATTTTCTAAAAAGAAAGAGATGTTTTTTCCCCAAGAGTCAAACAAGCAATAACGTGAGGCAACGAAAAATAAATGTAGAGAACATATGAATTAACTAAACATTAAAAAAAATTTACTGCTATAATTTATATTTGAAAATTACTAATATAATTATTAATAGTTAAATTTATATATGTTATCATAATTAAATTTGTTTCCTAAATCTAGTCATTTTTAATTTCTTATAACATATTTTATTTCCTAAATTATAAAAAATATTTTCTATTTAATTTTTTTTTTTTTTATAAATACACTAGTTTCATATATTTCAATATATTATATATCCATAAAAGCAAATATATTTAGAGAAAGATTTAGGTAACTGTATGCAACTTTTTCTTTTACTTATTATTTTCATACTGGACTTTTCATCCTCTACATATCTTTACCATGTTCTATGTTTACTCAAAGGTTAATTAACTTTGCAACTTTTTATAATTTTATTGAAATTATGCTACTAAACTTTTAAATTTTGATTATTCATAATAAAATAAAATTTCCATAGTTTTACATAACAATTATGTTTTTAGTTTACTAAAATACAAAAAGAAACTCTATTAAAAATTTTAGTCTATATATATAACAAATATATTTAATATTTAAATTTTAAAAAATGCTTAAAATACTAGTATTTGAAAGTAAGCTTCTAAAATATCTTTTAGAAATATTTTTTAACAAAAACATCAAACCAACCTTTGGATAAATTAATACTTCTGGAAACTTTAAATTAATAATCGATTATGGCTTAAAACAAATATTAATACTAGGATGCAAATAGATAACATTCAAATACAAAATAATTCTGTGAAGAAGGTCAGCTACTTATGCTCATTTAAGAAATACTACTACAGCGTCCATATTTTTCTTAGGTACAGTATATTGTTAAGGGGAAAAAAAGGAATTTAATGAGATGTGAAATGAAATATAATTATCAATGTAATGCAATGAAAAATGTATTGCTCTATTTACGTTTATTTGGCTGTAGTAACAACGGGATGACCAAAACAAGGTGGCCATTGAGTACAATAACTGCTGTTTCAGAAAAAAATTGGGAACATGGAGCCATGAATTGTAGCACAGGCAGGCAAGCCATCGATGTTCTTACAGTGATCATTTGCTAATTACAGTAGTGGAGTTAAGGGATATCCAGAATCGAACTATTTCCCCTTTAAAGGCATGAAATTGTTGCCAATGGCTGTCCTCTCCTCCTTGAATGGTTGAGTTGATGAGTCGGAAAGACTTGGTAACCTTGAAACACTACCCTTCCCTTTCCTGGCATTTGGTCCTATCTCCTCTATCATATATTTCCACCCATCAATAGGTCTTCGCCGGCTAAATATGTGAGTCTTGATAAAACTAGCTATCTGCAAGCAATTACAATGAGATAGGAAGTAAGAAAAAAGAGAAAGGAAGAAATCAACAAAATCTTAGCAAATTAGAAAATTACAAATCTGAAAATTCTTATATTCCACCAGGACCACCACTAATAGCCTGTTTTCTGCATTTATACACAAATTTAACCTGTGCTCATATTTAATTGGCACTTCATATGCTGGGAGTTCTTGAAGGCCAACAACAAGATTCATCTATAAAGATGGCAAAACGGAAATTGCTCTGTTACATATTAACAAAGATCAAAGTTCCTAACTTCCGTTTGAACTTTTGGTACATTATCTTTTTCCTTATCTTTCTATTTGTTTTAGTTGAGCAAGGCCTTATTGAAAACCTGATGGTTGATCAGAAAAATATTTCTTTACTGCAACTGCCAACTGGGCAAGAAAAACATAACGAGTAAAGCACGACAATGTTGACCCACCTGGAATTTACTGTACGCAATTCGACGATCAAATTCCTGGAGGAGAATATCTTCTTCCCTTTGTGACATCTCCCATATGTTTCCATCTTGTGTCTTGGATGTTGTTTCCCAACCATCTGGCTTGCTTTTAAACTCAGAAGAGCTTGGGACTTTTGGGTTGTCCAAGTCATTATTGGGAATATCAAAAATCCTGCAATGCAACAAATTCACCAACAAACCGAACATACAATGCCTCATGAGTATATATTCAAAACTTGCTATGCACAAACAGCAAAGTTTTCAAGCATCCAATGATTTGAATGGCTGGTAAGTAATGTAATTGTTCTAATTCATTGTGCTTACTATAGTATCACTACATGAGGAAGAAAAGGAAGTGGAGAGAGAGAGATTACCAGCACTTGCCAGCTGCAAATGTTGATCAGCAATTACCAGAAAATAAAAAAAAACAAAAGAGAGAACAAAAGTTTTTGCATTCTTCAATGAAGAAGTTTTATGAAATTTAGCAAGAGATGCTTTATGCTCAGTGAAAAGAGAAAAAAAAAATGCCACTTCTGGTTTTAAAATGCAAAGTTCAACCTTGGCCTGAAACCAGTACAAACTATATGTTTTTAGAAAAACAAATTCAGTGCGTGTGCACCTATCTAAACTTCAGCTCCAAAGTTAGCTAAGATCCTCATTTCTATTCGGGTACCTTAATTTGAAACTAGCTTAATACCAATCAACATAAGCACAATTAGATAAATATCTGCTAGCATGCACTAAAGCAATATGCTTTGATTAGCAGACTGCACCAATGGTTGAAACGATATTGCCATAAAAAAAAATAAAAAAAACGCAAGTTCACGTTTCATTTTGCAACAATGAGCGGTAATGGTTCAAAAGGAAGGAGGGGAAAACGGCAAATTTTTTAGAATTTTTATCTATCCATTACCAAAGGCATCATCTTCTTTTTTTTTTTTTTTTTTTTTTTTTCCATAAAAAAAATAAAAAAACGCAAGTCACGTTTTCATTTTTGCAACAACTGAGCGGTAATGGTTCAAAAAGAAGGAGGGGAAAACGGCAAATTTTTTTAGAGATTTTTATCTATCTCATTACCAAAAAGGCATCATCTTCCTTTTTTTTTTTTTTTTTTTTTGAAAAGAAAAGGGAATGCCACCAAGCAATATCACATAAAATAAGAGCAATTGACTGAGATAGAAAGAGGAGAAAAATTTTTTTTTTTTTTTTTTTTTTTTTTGAAAAAAAAGGGAAATCCACCATAGCAATATCACATAAAATAAGAGCAATTGATAGATAGAAAGAGGAGAAAATTGCGCAACATACTCAGAGCAGCTATCTAGCAATCTGTCAATATCATCTGCAGCGCCTACACCTGAATCCCTCAGCTTAGCCTCCTCCTGCTTCTCAATCTCCTTCATCCACAACCCAGCATGGATTCTCTGTTTCTTTAACCTATAATCCTTCTTCATATTCTCCAAACTATAAAGGGAGCTACCATTCTCAATTCCTTTCTTCTCTTCTTTATCTTGTTGCAATTGTTGAGTATTCGTCTTTTTCCGCCTCTCGTTCCAGTTCTCATTCATTTCCTCAACAAATGCCTTGGTCTCTGCATCCACCTCTGGCGACAGCACCACCGTCGATTCTGTCGAAGGCAAATTAACATCCGTCTCCCATGAAGCTCGGTTTTTATCCGTGAGGTCCTCCGGCAGCCAGGCGGTTTCCCAGGCATCATTCCATTCGTCGTCGCCGATTTTAGTGGATAGGGAATTGAAAGGAGTACTTGAATTCAAATGCATTTTAGGGATTGCAGAGGCGAGTCCATTGATTGGACTTGCTCTTCTTAGGGTAATAGCAGCTAAGCGTTGAAGATAGTGCATATTTGGGTTTCTTTGAAGTTGAATCGGGTTTCACACTGGGAAATCAAGTGATCTGGTTTTAAACAATTAGCTTTGATTAGTCGCAGAGATCATTTTGGGGTTTTCTGGGTTTTGCAATTTTGCATTAGGGTTTATCAGGACTCCGCCATGGACGTGATTTATGATATTTAAGACGACGTCGTTCATTCCAATAACGATGGGCATCGATTATTAAAGTGTTAGATTGGTCTGCGTGAATGGGCTTTTAGGCCCGCCCAACACATAACTAAGCTTGCCTAGGCTTAGGGTTTTACACAAAAATGAAACACCACATATATAAACGCACCTTGAATGTCTCTGTTTCCTTCGTCGTCTCTCCATTGATCCCTGCAATAAGATCGCAGAGGAAAGCACCGGCAGCTTACAAGCATGGTGCACGTCTCTTTTTATCGCAACTGTGAGTTTTTCTGTTTCTTGATTTCCTCTGCTTTTTTGGCTGCTTTATTCAGTTATTTAATTTCAACTTATACTTCTAATGATGCATCTTGGTTATGTAGTGTTCTTAGTTGCCATCGTTTTTTTGTTCTTTCGAACTGATTTATTAAGTTATCTATTTGTTTGATTAGTAATTTTTTTAATGTTTTAATTTGATTTGCTTGCAATTGCTGAAATTGAAAAGTAAGTGCGGGCAACAAGGAAACAAAAACTTGAAAAATTGCAAAATCGCATTTCTTTCCTTGTTTGGATAAGTTATTTGGCTAGTGGAGGAATTAATGGTTTCATAATAATGAACAACGTAAGCTCATACTTAGAATAGCTAGTGATCATATATGCTGCATAACAGAGTTCAAGGTTATGGCTTTATGGTGTAACACAATGTTATCATTTTGTGTTGCTTTCAAGTTTTTGTATTTGCTTACAAAATCCAATATTTTATGAATTTGAGAAGACAGTGAATTTTATTGTTATAGGGATAAAATTGTTACAGTCAGTACGTCGATTATTTTCATTGTGTATATTTTTTGTCATTTATCATAACAACCTGACCTTCAATAGATGGGAAAACATTTAAGAAACCAAGACGTCCCTATGAGAAGGAGCGTTTGGATGCTGAGCTGAAGCTTGTTGGGGAATATGGTCTCCGCTGCAAAAGAGAGCTTTGGAGGGTTCAGTATGCATTGAGCCGCATTCGTAATGCAGCAAGAATGCTTCTCACCCTTGACGAGAAAAACCCACGTCGTATTTTTGAGGGTGAAGCACTGCTGAGGAGGATGAATAGATATGGACTTTTGGATGAGAGCCAGAACAAACTCGATTATGTGTTGGCCTTGACTGTGGAGAACTTTCTTGAGCGCCGTCTTCAAACTCTTGTGTTCAAGTCTGGTATGGCTAAGTCTATCCACCACGCCAGAGTGCTCATCAGGCAAAGGCACATTAGGTATGAATATTCTTTTTGAGAGTCTAGATTTGGTTTTCTTTGTTATAGGACATTATTTCTTATATTTTTTTAGATTTTTCCTAAAATGGTTGGTTCTTATGTACGTGGTGGTATCTTGAATTCTCCAGTCATTTTTGTAGAATAAAAAAGTTTTTTATCGTTCAGCTTCTTTTTCTCAGTCTTCATCCTTATTAGTGTTAGAACTGTTCATATAGTTGTGGTTTAGGATCACAATCGCTGAAGTACCATACTTTGTTGAGCTTGTGGATGTATGTTTGCTCAAGATTGTTTCACATTTGGTGCGAGTCTTTCAGACCAACTGATCTGTCCATAACTTAAATTTCCTTTGCCACATACTCAAGGTTCAGCATCATATTCCCATATAATCATCAATCTTGGTTGTAGTTACATCCTTATATTGTGCTCCTATCATCTGCTCCTTGAGGACTTATTCCTTGAGATATTGTTGGGATGTCTTGCATTGAATAGCTTTTGGTCCCTTTTTCTTCTAAGCACTTTAGGCATTGGTACTGTCTTTAATTATTAAATTTTTCAATTAAAAAAAATAATGAGACATTAGAGTTTTGGGAATTACTTGTCCTGTCTATTAGAACGCTGTGTCCATGCACCAAGTCCATACTAATTAATCTTTTAACAAAATGGGCACCAGTGGAACCAGGCCTTTTTGGTTTGAAAATTAGTCATTCCCTTGACTTCATATTCTTTTATATTATGCTATTTTTGGATTACTCAATGGTATGGCCTCTTTAATAATATTTATTTTGGCTTGTTAGGGTTGGGAGACAGGTAGTTAATATTCCCTCTTTTATGGTGAGGGTTGATTCGCAGAAACACATTGATTTCTCACTCACAAGTCCATTCGGTGGTGGTCGCCCTGGTAGAGTGAAGAGAAAGAATCAAAGGGCTGCCAGCAAGAAGAATTCTGGCGGGGATGGTGATGAAGAAGATGAAGAGTGAGCAGTGTTTGTTAAAGACTATGTCTAAGATTTTGTTATTGATGGGTTTTTCTTATTGGCCCTTCATTTTATTTCCTATCCATATTTTTTTTTACTTGACAATCTTTAATGTTAGCCAGTATTTTCATACAGTTCCTTTTTATTTTTACCTTTTAAAAGTTTCTTTTGCTACTATAGATATGTAATAATAGATATAATCATTCACTTATTTTACCCAAGTTCACCCGACATTCAGATCAGCAGTTTTGCCGGTAGTAAAGGTCTGGAGGAATTTGATTTTCCTCAGCCTGTTCGTCCCCAAACAAGGGATTTCTACCTACTGATATAAATTTTGAATGAAATCAGCATGGCTTCTTATAAATGCCATTTTGTGTATTATTAGTAAAGATGTGCAACAATCCTTTTTCCCTCATAGTATGCAAAATCCAGCAAATTTTTCCTCTGTTTTTTTCTCTCTTGTTTCCCCCTTTGTTTGTGTACGGTATATACAAATTTATGGATGGGTTTCAGCCAAAGTGAAGTAGCTTGTTGGAAAGCTGGTTCAATTGTTCTTCCTTCCATGGTTGACCTTTAAGGTGGAAGTGCAAGTGGTGTGTCCAATTTGTGGCTTGGAGAAGGAATCAACCTTGAGTAATTTACGAATTCGATAAATAATTTATGTTTCAGAAAAAAAAAAATGCAAATCCTTGTTCGTAGGTCCTGTATTTGAAACTAGCAAATATTAATCAACATAAAACAACTAGTCAAGTGGTAGTTAGGCCAAAACGGTCGTTATGTCTATGAACAAAAACTCGAACGACTTGACGTCGCATAGAGACTTCATTTACAGAATTAGATTGGGCTTTTGAATAATGGGTTTGGGCTGGGCGTTAATCCAAACAATCAGGCCCGCCCAAAAGACATGAGAAAGCTATTAAGGGTTAGGGTTTTACACAGAAACAAATAGCAAAAGCTGAAATAAGAAACAACATATATAAGCGATCTTCACTTGTAAAGCTTTTTTCTTCCGTCCTTTGATCGTCTTCTTCGTGTGCTCTGCAATAAGACAGCGGAGGAGAGCACCGTCAGCTAACAAGAATGGTACACGTCTCATTTTATCGCAACTGTGAGTTGTACTAGTCCGTTTTCTTTTTACTATTGCTTGCTTTGGCTATTTTTTCTGGTCTGCTTTACCATTAACGGTCTTCTCTTTTTAAGCTGTGTTTTTATTTACTTATTCTTTTGGCATTGTGCAGTGTGGTTATGTAATGTTCTTATCTGTGATTGATTTTGTGTTTCATTTGAAGTGGTTTATTAAGTTTTCTTTTTGTTTGATTAGCAAATTTTTATATGTTTTATTTGATTTGCTTCTTGTTTAGGAATCCTGACGGCAGATTTAGAAGTTTGTATGTCAACTTTCTTAATTGAAAAGTAGTGAGACAAAGCCAAATCACGTTCACAATTTTGTTTTCTTGTGCGGGAATGAAGTAGTTGCATAAAAATGCGCAACATTGGCTTATACTTGCATTTGCTTGTGGTCGGATATAGCATAACAAAGTTCAATTCCATTGCTATATAATAGGAATAAAGTTTGTTTGTTATCATTCATAGGCATTTCTGCTTTGTGAATTTTGACAAAGTTAATGGGAAAAATGGATCTTCTTCTATTTCTTATTTTAAATTATTGTTTTTATGGTTCAGTGATTGTTATACTGGGTATGGCATCTCATGTGTCACTTAAGCAATTCTATGATTTTCAATAGATGGGAAAACCTTTAAGAAACCAAGACGTCCCTATGAGAAGGAGCGTTTGGATGCTGAGCTGAAGCTTGTTGGAGAATATGGTCTCCGCTGCAAAAGAGAGCTTTGGAGGGTTCAGTATGCATTGAGCCGCATTCGTAATGCAGCAAGAATGCTTCTCACCCTTGACGAGAAAAACCCACGTCGTATTTTTGAGGGTGAAGCACTTCTGAGGAGGATGAATAGATATGGTCTTTTGGATGAGAGCCAGAACAAACTCGATTATGTGTTGGCCTTGACTGTGGAGAACTTTCTTGAGCGCCGTCTTCAAACTCTTGTGTTCAAGTCGGGTATGGCCAAGTCAATCCACCATGCCAGAGTGCTCATTAGGCAAAGGCATATTAGGTATGGATATTTGCTATTCCTTTTGAGAGTCTAGCTTAGACGTTTTTTGTTTTATGTTTACTGAACCTGTGTTGTATGTCATTTGTTGGGAAAGAAGTTACTATTTACTAAGAGATCCTAGTTCTGTGACATGATCCATTAATTAATGGTTATTTTTAGTAGTCTTTGAATATGATATTTATGAATAGGTGATTGTCGTGGATGTAAACAAATTTGCCCAATCATGTAAAAATGCTGTGCTCTTTTTTCTTCTTTTCTAATCTGTGTGCATGTATCTGCTGTATGATTTCTAGTAATACTTTCATACATTTAGATTTCTCCTACAATGGTTGTGGTTTATAGGTGAACTGTGCAATAGTATGTTAATCTTGAAGGTAACCATTTCATGTGTTCATATATGTGCTGTTCAAGATAACAATCAAAGAAGTAATGCCAGCCATTTGACTTTTCTGAATTACTAGGTTCCTCTGTTACAAAGTTGTTTCCATGTGCAGAATAATGTTCATAAATATATGAGCCCTAGATATTGATCCACGCCTTTTCATAAAAGCTAGTCATTCTCTTAACTTTAAATTCTATAATATAATGCTACTTTTCGATTGTTTATGGATGTTCCATCTTTTAATGTTTATTTTGGCCTGTTAGGGTTGGGAGACAGGTGGTTAATATTCCCTCATTTATGGTGAGGGTGGACTCACAAAAGCACATTGATTTCTCACTTACAAGTCCTTTTGGTGGTGGACGCCCTGGTAGAGTGAAGAGAAAGAATCAAAGGGCGGCCAGCAAGAAGAATTCCGGTGAGGATGGAGATGAAGAAGATGAAGAGTAAGCTGTAGTGGTCACATAACAATGATTGATGACTTTGTTAGGATATACATGAGTTCTTCTCATTGATCACTTCTTTTGATGGACTTTCTTTTAATTTCCTATCCACATGATGGTTTTTTGAGAATCTTTAAAGTTAGCAATTATTTTCCTCAAGTTCTTTATTTTAGATTCTAAGATTTCTTTTGCTATTGTCTAAGGAATATACATGGTACTTGTTCAACTTGCTCAGGGTGTCTTTGCCAGAAAGAATGTAATCTGTCATCTATTTCTGTATGCTAGTGCCTCCCTCGATATTAGCCAAGATGTCATATGCTTTTAAAAATTGGACAAGCTGATGAGTCCAAATAATTGTGTTTTTCAATGTTTTTCTCTCTTACAAATTTAATGTATGTTTATTGGGCTAATATTGGTCGGAAAAGAATCTAGCCCAAAGCACTTTATGCTGATCTTTTGAAGTGCACTTGTTCAACATCACGACTGGGCCTTAGTGAAAATTATTAACTATTATTATTACTATTGTAATAATAATTTCTTAGTCAAATTGATAAACAAAAGAGGTTATTTTGGATAGAAGTATTAAAGTGTTAAGGAATTGTAAATTAGGGTTTTTATAGTTAGTTTTGAAAACACATGTTTTCATGTGTTAATTTGACTGTAATTTAGGGTTAAAAGTTTATTTTAATGATTTGTTCTTAATATTTAAGATGCTAAAATGACTCGAGCGACCTACCTAAGCCACAGCCGAAGAATAAATTTGTTTCGTGATCAATCAAAAAATGGCTGGGTCCGGCAGATCGGCAGGGTATGATCAGTCGGCTCTAACCGCAAATGTGGGAATAATGTTCTAGGCTTCTAGACAAAGTTAAAAGGCCAAATCTGAAAGGCAAAAGAGGCCCCTACAGCCTAGGGGTGAGTAAATGGTTGGACCGATTTAAACCGAACCATTGTCAAAAAATACAAACTGAATTTTGGACCGACAGATCCAACAGAAATTGGCTTCTGAACCGAACAAGTTAGTTTGGCTGACTTTACAATATCAGTTCAGTTTTAAATCCAACTGATAAATTTCTGTAAAATCCATTTGAATCAAATAATAAATTTAATTCAATAGCAAATAAACTGACAAATCAAACTTCTCTTGAATAACCGGATCGAAATGGGTCTTTTTCAATCGGAAATTTTGCACACCCCCACCTTCACAACCTAATCAGTGATATCAACGTAACATTTTATCTCAGTCCCATCAAATCAAAACTAAAGTTAAACAATTAAGCAACTGTAATTATAATATGTTCATCCCATTTCTGTTTGGCATCTTTGCCTTTTATGGTACATCAGTTTTCAAGGGATATGAAATTTCACATCACCTAAAAGTGGACGAAACTGTAATTCTTTTAAAGATCAAATCTTATATTTTGATTTCCTAACTGTTAATTCTTTTAAAGATTCAATCTTATATTTTTGATTTCTCAAAGATTTCCTTTTTTTTTTAAAAAAAAAAAAAAAAAAAAAAAAAAAGCAAAGTTATTCTACTATATCAATTACCAAATTAAATAAACCTAAAAAATAAATTAAAAAGGAGGTTGTGGTAGGGTTGTTATCGGATTAACAACATATTTTTCTCTCTAAAAGGATCTAAAATTTTCTGAATTCTCTAATAAATAAAGTCTGGTTGGACCAATTAATGAAAAAATTTATTTAACCTTTGGGTTTTTGCCCATAAACCGTTCATTTTCAGATTCTCCTCACTAGAGATATTTATTTTATCCAACCTAATCCAGTTGGGTAAAATTCGATCAATTCATAACTATGGTGGGTACGGATATATACTATATGGTTGAACTGACCCGAACCAGCCCAATCTCTTTTTTAGATCAAGTCTCTCTCTCTCTATATCTGGCTTCGTTTTGTTCTCAAATTATTGTCGGTGACTTTTCATTGGTGGAGGAATTCTCTTTTCATTGATTTCTCCACCTATGTACTGGTTTTCTTTGATTAAATTTTAGTTTTAAGGAATTAATTAATTTCCCAAATTATATCGTCCTTTTTTTTTTTTTTTTTTTTTTTTTTTTTTTTTTTTTTTTTTTTTTTTTTAAAGTCTCTCTTTCTTCGAAACAGAGCGTTCAGTGCATAATTGGATTTGGCAGCAAGCCAAGGCCTGAAAGAAGAAAGAAATACATAACCATCGAGACAGGCTGTTCTCTTAAATGACACTGTCGTACACGTACTTTGGTTCTTTCACTCTTTTTTTTTTTTTTTTTTTGTGGTTGTAGGGTTTTGAAATTGACTCTCTCTTCTCTCTCTCCTTCAATACAATATTTGCTTCTTATGTTTCTATTTAGTCCCTTTTCTCTCTTCCTTTTTCATTAATAACCTTCATCAAGTGGGATTTTTTTTTTTTTTCAAACTATTTTGTTGTATAAATTTAGAAGTAGTGGTTAGCAAAAGCGATGGTACATGATATTTTCTTTCTTTCTTTTATTGATTTATTGAAATATCCAACCACAACTCTCTCTCTCTCTCTCTCTCTCTCCTCCCTAATATTCCTTTTCAGTTTACGTGTTTGTACTGTTTGATTGAAATAATTTAAATAAAGCTTTCACAATCACAATTAAATTCATAACTTTATAATTAAAATATCTTTATAATGCAGTCCACTTACACTGATACGGCGGATCTATTCGATAAAATTAACTATTTTGATTGCTTGTAGATATTTTAATAGTGTTTAATTGTTAACTGTTTCAATACATTTTGATAAAACGCTAAAAGCAAGCTAATGTTATATGAACTAATCTTCCATAAAATTCTACTTATAAGTTAAAACTCTAAAAACTAATTTAAAAAGCTGTTGTTGAACCCGTGAACATCTTTTTTTAGTAATTATTATTATTTTAATGCAGCAACTGCCCCATATCTTTCATAAAATAGAATATTGTAGTCCTAGTTTGATTGATTCTTGTAGATAGATTGGAGACCATGTTCCTCCATTTTGTGGAAAGCTATTGTTTGCCACTAAATGAAAAATAATTATATAAATACTAATAAATTTAAAAAAAAATACATAAAGAATTATTCTTGCACGTTTTATCTAGTGGTGTTGCAATATACCCATATATATATATATATATATATATATATATATATATTATTCTTGCTTTCCCCTTGAAAATAATACTCCAAAAAATTCTTTAAATATATATATATATATATATATTCTTGCTTTCCCCTTGAAAAATAAATACTCCAAAAAATTCTTTAAACATATTCAACCAGATAAAAGAATTGGACCTATTATATAATTAATGTTTGGGATTAAGGTTGATAAATATATAGTTGTAAACAAAACAATTAGAGAAGAAGGAAGTTGCAAAGTTAGATGGACAAGGACAACCTTATTTTGACCAAAACGACAATGGCATAAACAAAGTGAAAATTGGAGGATATTATAAGTAACTTTGTCTGCCAATGAGGTCTAGAGATGCCCATTATCTTGATTCTAAGATACATATTAACAACAAGCTAGGACCATCCACAGGCTATCTTTTATTTTCTATTCCAAGCAAAAGGCTAACAATAATCATAGAGTGGAGAATTTTCTTTTGAAAATTGAATTTCATTTTAACCCTCTGATGTGAAAGTTATGTATTGTGGGAATATTGTAATCTAAGTGCTGCAAGTATTTCAATTTCTTTTCTCATAATATTCAAATAAACATAAACACTGGCCATATAAAATCGTAACGACGGGTACGGCACGGCCCTTTTACTATCATGTTTGGACATTTTCTTTTCGTTGTTGTATTTATTTAATAAATAAATTTTTGTTATTTTCAATGCCTAAATTAATCAAATGGAATGACTTTTTAAGATTTTAGATACATTCAGCCATTCAATATAACATATTTGAAATATAGATTTAATTAGGGGCAGTAAGTAAGCGACATCAAATATGAGAATATAAATTTCACTTATTATAACAATAAAAACATTTTATAACTATGATTTTTGACATCATGTTGGAATCAACAATTATAAAATTACAGGTTTTATATGTTAAATCTTATATTATTATAGAAGGTCATTGTATAATTATTTTTATTATTTCTATTTATAAATAGCTATTATCAAATGTTCAAATAAAAGAACCATCATTTTCTAATAATAATTAATATACTAGTATTTGGAGTTTTGTTGATTATAGTTATTAGTAGATGAAAAGGAGGGGCTCTAATATTTCTTCCAGTCGAAAGTGTGCCGTGCAGATCTAGCCAAGTTGCCAATTGCAGCAGCCTCATGTTTAATCCTCACAAGATATGTCACATCTCCGGTTTCATTTATCATTAATTCTATCACCATTTAATGGTTTTCAAAATATAGTTAATAAAGAATTAAAAAGACGATAAAGATGGTTTTATTGTATTTTAAGTTTTGCTTTGGGAATATTATTAGTTGTTTTAGTGTGTGGAAGTTCTATTAGTTGTTAGTAACTATTTTTATAGCAGTTTAAATTAGAAATATATTCGGTAATATAATATTTTAATTTAAAATGATAAAAAAATACATTAATTGTTTAGTTAGCTGAATTTGGAGGAAAAAAATAAAACAAATTTAATTAAAATCTAAATGTTTAATAAAAAGTTTCATCAGCTTCTAAAAGCTATTATAAAAGCTATATTACTGGACGCTATGATTAATAAAGACAGAGTTTTAACTTGATCAAAATGCTAAAAATTAGTTTAAAAGCAGTTGCCAAACATAATTTTAATATAAACAAGGTCAATTTTTTTAAAAAAATATTCATGAAAAATGAAAAATAAAAATTTCAAAAACAACAAAATAATAAGCCAAAGTTAACTTCTTCAATCCCTATTAAAATAATTAATTGTAACTAAACCCATTAAAATTGTTTATACGGACACGAGAAGTCTAATATACAATATTGACGTTTGAATTTATTTGAAGTGATTTCATTTCAATGAAATTAAATTGTATTCAACACCCCCAATCCGAAAAAAAAAAAAAAAAGTATTTAGTTAACCTAAATTAATATATTAACATGAATATTTTATATTCATATTCGATATGGACTCACCCATACATTAAAACAATCAATAAAAATTTTTTAAAAAAATTATCGTTATTATTATTATTTTCATTGAATGATCATAAATATTCTCCTTGTAATTGAAAATTTAATTTCAATTCATTTTGACGTATGAGGTCTCCTGTATAACGTAAGTGTTTTTTTTTCCTTAAAAAAAAAAAAAAAAGGTGAGTGTCTTTCATTAATAGTTTCAAT